AGACTAAAAAAAAAATAATTCAAGAAAAATTCTTAAGTAGACTTAGAAAATGGACTGCCCCAAACAAGGATTTGGAAACACAAGCGATAAAAGCTCATCACCGACATTCTTTAAGAAAAACAAAATTACTGTATAAATAACTGGAGATATTGACATTATCAAAAGATTGGGTGTTATTTTAAATATTTTAAGCTGCAAAGGACAAAAAATACCCGCAAGTTTGGTGAATATGACTGCGGAGCTGTTAATGGAAAAATATCCTGAAAAGAAGCTAACTCCCACGCTTCATAAAATTCTGGCACATGGTCAAATTTTAATTGAACATCAGAGCCTACCAATTGGAGAGATGTCAGAGAAGGTCCAGGAAACGAGAAACACGGATTACAAAAAATACTGGAATATGAATACGCGCAAGACATCACGAATTAAGAAAAACCAAGACCTTTTCAACATGTTGGCAGCCTCTTCAGATCCATATATTTCATCCATTAGATATGTGAGATCACAAATTAAATCGGAAAGTAGTTATTCTTCAGAAATTATAAGTTTATTAGATATTCCTCCCACTGAACAAGAAGTGGAGGATTATTTTACAGAAGCAAAAAAATTCAACCAACTTTCAGATTAAAAAAAAAAAATTTTATTAAAATTTTTTAATATTTTGTTAAGCTAAAAATTAAATAAAAAATAATTTTGTATAGTAAAAAACACTATTAAAAGTACTTTATCGATCAAAAAAAGAAAAAATTGAGCATTTTACATAGGAAAATATGCACCGGCAACAAAGTTCAACTTTAACCCATTATTGTGAAGCTTATAAACACTGTAGCATAATTTACTTAAACAGATTAAGTTTTGAAAGATTTTTCTTTCAAATGCATTTCGTTTCATGAAGATATCTTTATTTGTTCATAAGTTATTAATTTAGCAAGCTGAAACGGCGGAATTCGCCACTGTGCGGCGGGGCTACACACAGAAATTGAAAGTGGCACGCGCAAATTACTTAATCCGACTTTTCAAGTACTTTGGTGTGACACAGACACAGAGAACTGGGCATAGAAAGGAAAAAGTAGAGGAAACCTGTGGTAAAGAGGCAGTTAAAATGGGGAAGGGAGGCAGCAAAGATGTGGCAAAGAGGCCTCAAAACTGGGGAACGAGAAACCTTCGTCTGAGGTAAATGCCGGCACGTACTTTTGGTCCTTTGATCTAATTTACCAAGCATTTTCAGGTATTCCGACTTTGAATGCCAAAATGAAACTCAAGACGACAACAACAACAACAAGACAAATTTCCGAAAAAAAGAAGAAAACTTAACGAAAATGAAAATGTTAAATGAAAATAGCCCCAAGAGCCGTCCAGCCAACGTCAGCCCGTCTGTCCGTCTGCTTGTCTTTACTGAGCCTTGGCAGTTAATCAATGAATAGCCGCACCCACAGCTGCCACAGCAACTCCTGCCGACTTCGACTCATGCCACAGACCATCCCCATCCGCAGGCGAGCTGTGGCACGGCAATTACATCAAAAGGAAACTGTTGGCCGAAAGCCCAAGTAATTTTTCAGCGGGGCTGGAGACACACGCTTTAGAATTAACTAAATAGCAGAGCAGCACAACACCACCGGCCCAACTCGCCATTCATGACATGAAAAGTCACTTAACAGTACAAGGCGGACGACTGGAGACATCAGGAGAGCCCCAAGAATGGCCTCAAAGCTAGCCCGGAGGACACTAGAGCAAGAGATGGTGTCCGGCAGGTGCAAACTGGCCAACATTTTCATCTGCTTCTGCTTCGCTTTTTTATTGTAACGAATTGCATTTTATTGCTCAGCAGCAGAACCAGACCGGGACTCAGACCAGAACCGCAACAGCCTCCAACCTATTCAAGGCAAAGGAAACGTAAAATGTTGAGCATTTAACTAAATTGTTTCATTTTGCGGTCAAACAAAGTGGAACTGAAGGAGAAAGAAACAATTTCTTTTCAAGCGAGTTTGCACCTCCGGGCTGAGGTTTTGTGGGAGGGAAAGCAAAATGAGAGTAGAGCAAAATGAGTTCTTAAGGATAATGCAGATTAATGGAGCTGATGGATTTGGTGCATCAAAGTTGATTCTATTCATATTGAAACGTAAGCCAAAAAGCTGGCTTCCGGAATACTGAATTAATTTTCCATCTCCCTTAAATTCTGTAGAAATATCAGGTTTATTTCACTGAAGATTAATAAATTAAATCAAGAATATTAATCCCTTCCTCTGCGAAATTCCAAGTTAGAAACTTGTGGAATAAGTAGTGTGATTTTAATAAGTAGTGGGATCTCCTTAACCATGAAAGTGGAATATGCTCGCTGTTAAGATTAAGTAAACTTTTAAACCTCTGCCAATGTAATGCTGAGCATCTCTTGGAGGCAGAAGCAATCGCATTGAAGGGAATCACTATAGAGATTCTGTAAGATGATGCCAGGTATCGATATACACATGAGATCTATCAAATCCAGTGTTGGATAACACATTGAGTGGAAAGAAGGCAAAAGCAAAAGCTGTCCTCTTGACTTCCGCGTGGTAGACGGATCCACACGTAGACGCTGCTGCTTCTGTTTGGATTCCGCTACTGTGAGCCCGACATGGCCCAGCATTCTGTTCCCGTTCATGTTCATGTGCAGCTGCTGCAGCTTAGCTGCAGACCGGACGGAAAACCCAGCAAAAAAGAACCGAAGCGGCGAGCAGAGAGCAGACCAAAGCTGGAATAGAAAAGTGGGAAAATTGAGTTGAAAATTGTTCATGGCACACACTTCACAGGCAACGCAAATTGACAGCTGTCAATCAACTGCTCGCCCACTCGAGCTCAACCGAACCGAGTCTGGCCAGGTGCCCCATGATAATGATGATGATGATGATGATGATAATGATGATTGTGATGTTCGTGATGTTCATGATTTTCATGATGCTCATGATGGTGATGGCTATGGCGCATTCCGGTTCTGGGCTGCACTTGAAATTGATTAAGCGGCTGCTGTAGCTGCGTTCCTGTTGCTGAACTTCCTTCAAGCTGGAAAATCGGACTGCAATGTCTGCTCTCCAAAAAAAAGAAAAAATTACTACGGTTTTAGTAGTCATTTCCGACTACGAGATACGCTTTACACAGGGTATACTCAGTCGCAAGAGTCAGTTATGCAAGTAATCCCACAGAAGAGCATTCAAAATTATCTATTCCAAAGGTATTAAAACCATTATTATTGTAGCTCTATCATATGGTTAATGTGTCCTACGTTATGCATAAATGTTCAAATACACAGCATACCCTTGAATCCCACTGGTACGCGATAAGAAAAAAAGAGAAAAAAGAATGGAGGGGCAAACTTTGGTGCTTGGAACTACTTTGGCAAAGTATTTCATTGACGTACAAAGCAGTGCGAGAACTACTCCTAACCCATTCCACTTTGAGAAACTTTGACAGAGCACTCGCACCCACTTGACAACTTCCGGCCGTGTCTATGTCCGTAAAAACACGCTTCCAGCCGCAAAAGAGAGAGAGAGAGAGAGAGAGAAAGCCCTAGCCCTGCCTGCCAGTTATTAAGTTTATGGCCATTAACTTGTGGCCAAATAACGTTGATGTTTTATTTGATTGGCTTTGCAGGATACGACCTTCGCCCTAAAGCCGCACTCCATATGTGATTATCCGTGGACTCTGTTTGAGCACGAATCGATCCTGAATGCATCCATCTTTTTATGTGGCTGGTCTCCCAGCTCTCCCTGCTGACCATTCCCTGGTTCCCATTCCCCTCAAGCTACTTTTTGCGCAAGACATATGTACATAAATGCAGCAGGATTCTTCGTGTACCTGCGCGAATTATCGGGCAAACATTTTTCGAATTAAATTGAATTGTTTTTTCATTATTAACAAGGATTTCAATATTTTTTACTTCACTTTTAAGTGCTTAAGTCTAGGGGGTGTGGTTTCTTGTGGCATTCAGGACCGGATACTTTCTAAAGAAATCTTTGGCGAGGGCGCTCGCAAAAAGGACAAAAAGTTAAGAGGGAAGTAAGCTTTAAGTAAAATGCAGAGAGCTGGGTTTTCTTATTATATAAAACAATGAAACGAAAAAAATTGAAAGAGAAGCGTGGCATAAGTGGACAGAAGACAATAGGAAGGAAAGGAGCAAGGGATAAATCTTTGAGAAGACCGATTTCATTAGACAGAAGTTTTTTTTTAGTAGAGTAACGAAGATACTTCGAAAGATTTTGACAATACTCGAATATGAGACACCCCAAAATGTTGGAAGATTTTTTCGTAGTATTATTCTATTCATTTCGGACACCTGTCGGAAAGAAAGTAGGGAACGTCTCCAAACGATTTTTTTAATTTCAAATTATTACCAATTTTTTTTAGCATGTATACATATATTTTATTATTATATTACATATGTTTAGTAGGAAATAATATAGCTTACCTTACTTAATCTTCCCCACCTCCAAGCCCCCTAGACAACGAAAAGCTACAATATTTTGTAGACCAAAACCACTTGTATAGAGAATCTTTCCAATATTAATCCCATAAATGTTTTTTAAAATATCAAAACCAATATTCTTTTCTTCAATTTTTTTCAGTGTATCTCTGTGTCTCTGTGTGTAGCAAAACCAACAAATCCCCACCCCAGCCCCACTAATAACCAATTAACAATCCGATCAGCCAATCAACCTACAATCAAAATACAGTAAACAATACAATTAAATCCAGTTAAATATCGTTAAATACCGTTAAATACAGTTACATTTTTTTAAATACAGTAACTTATAGTGTTAATGTACAACTCACAGCACTTTCGGCTAGCCGAAACCACAAGAAAACCCCATTCCGAAAAAAATGTTAGCTTTTGCAGTGAAAACCAAAGCAAAGAAAAACAAAGAATCTTGACAGTGCTGCAAAGCGTATGCTGCACGATAAAGCAAAATCAACTAGATATGGGTGCAAGCGATTAAACATCAGACACACAAAAAAAAACCATCGAAAACGGATTAAGCGCGCAGCTGAAAGACGAGAAGGAGTAACAACCCAAGGATATCGTTTATTAGCAAAGGATCTGCGGGTGCAGACACATAACGCCATGCGCCATGTCAAAACTTCGGCATTACAGGTCCATGGATCAGCCCAGCAGCAGCGGTTGCGTGGCCATCCGCAAAAAGTTAGCAACATTCTACTCAATATCCTTCCTTAGACATCCGAATCAGAAGCAAATAAGATTTATTTTCCATGCTTTCCTCTTCTAAAGTTACTGCTCTTCTAAGGACATCTATAATTTCATGCTTTGGCTAGAACTTTTCACCTCTTCCACCATGCTATAACACTCCACAGCAAGAGACGTCTACATCTCACACTCAACTTCACCACACTAAAAGCTTGGAGCTTTCATTAAAAGTACACCTACGCATGTCCCACACTGCTTTTCCTTTTCCTGCATGTTACTTTGTAAATAAAATATATCAGATTGTAAAGCTTACAGCTGACAGCTGGCAGTTTCCAGCTGTGAGCTTTCAACTTACACCCTTTAACTTGAACTTTGAGCCTTCAACCTTGAGCGCTGAGCTTGGAGCTAGAGCATATTTATAGCTAAAGCTCTCGCCTTAACACCTAAACAGCTTTCAGCTGTTGCTTCTGATGGCAGCAAAATGCAGCAGCAGTCCATTCGCATCCCCCTCCACAAACGCAACACATCCTTTTGCATGGCTGCCACCGCTCCGATCTATACCCAAAGAGATCTGCACAAATACCTATATACTATCTGCCTATAGATAGTCGTATACCAACATGTGTGTGTTCCGTGCTGAGAGTGTACTCGTCTCGTTACAGGACTATGACAGCAGTATGTTTCGTGTGCAACCTGCCCATCATGTCGCACCAGGTGGGTCTGGTGTGGTCAGGTGGCAACGGCTGGGATGACCTCGTCCGCGAACAGGTGAGTGGACTCTGTCCTAGGATAGCTATCAAAGTAATGCGTATTTGCTACTCTGCTCCGTTAGCTGGAGGAGTCAACGATCCGTCAGAGATTAGGCGGACGTCGCGATTCCGCCGCTCAGATCACTACACCACCGAGCACCTCACCGCCGCCAGGACTTCAACGGCGGAGGCGCAGCTCTTTGGCCCAGCTTACTGACATTCTGCGCGAGTGGAGCGGAGGCACCAAGCAACAGACCCAGCAGCAGCAGCAGCAGGCTCAACAACAAGCACGCAACAAGGGCCAGTTAAATCGCCGCGAAACACTCGCCGATCTCGCCCGCAGCTTGCCCTGGCGGACATCCACGACCGATGCGAGCACTGGTGCTGGCGGTGCTGGTGCTGGCTGCAGTTCCAGTGGAGGCAATATCACATACATTGCCCCGCGCAAGCGTCGCGAATCGAGCGCCGATTCCGGCATACGCAGCATCAGATCCCGGCGCGAATCGAACACGGCCGAGTTCGTTAAACATTGGAACAGGCGCGAGAGTACAGCAGTTGAGGAACTGCCTCCGAGCCACATTTCCGTGAATGTCGTTGTCGTCGAAGCTACCAAGAGCGTGAGTTTTTGGAATTGATCAGAGCCCTTGACCTTTCTGTACTCCTGCAGGGCAGCTGGAAGATATAGAGTATGAGTATGCCCTGTAGGACGCCCTTCCTTTTTTTTTTTCATCGATGGGACGTACTTTTTAACTAGAGTTATTAGTACGGATGAAATAGAGTTTTTATTTCCTTGCTCGATTCATCATTAAAATGCCCTGAAAGAAGCATTCCTCTTATTAATTCAAACATATTGCGCCCCTGTACGCTTTGAGAAATGTTGTCGAAGCACTCTAATGACCAGGCTGTAATTAATTTGTACTCGCAGAGCAATGAATGCGTTGTTTTGACGGGACTGTAATTCTTTAAGACGTATGTACATTTTCTCCTGATAAATTGCAGGGAGGCACTGCGTCACATGATCAATGCCGCCGTTTGGGGTAACTGTACTCCGGTACCGATGAGATAGACAGTCAGAGATATAATTATTTTTTGAATATGCCTAGTCTATTGCAAATGCTTTGACGGCAGCCGAAGTTTGATATAGCAATTGCTAGTTTTGACTTGACTCCTTCAAATAATTTCCCAGAAGCCCTAATCCTTCTTCTTTACCAATTGACCTTTGACCTTAAACCCAGCATGCAACTCTTCTCTCTCTTCCCACCGCCTTCCTCTTCTGCCTGGGAACGCAGGCCTCGCGCCGCGGATCCGGGGAGAGCTACTTGTCGAGCAGCCGGCGGGACAGCAATGTCGCCGGCCGCGTGACAACGCCGCCACCGCCACCCAAGAACCAGGTGGCCAAGAAGCGGGACTCGCTTGCCGCCCCGGAGTTCCCCAACTTCCGGCAGGAGCAGCGTCCCTCCACCAGTTCCGCCGGTTCCTGTCACTCCGACTCCGTCTCCGTGCCACTAATCCAGTACCATCAGCAGGTCGACTCCGCATGCCAGGCCCTGCCGCCGCCAACCATCATAACCAGCTCGGTGACGCCGCCGGCCACCAGCCCAACGGCTCCAAAAGGTCGGCGCGACTCCACCACGCAATGCGGCCGCGTCAATCGGCGCGACTCAAAGGCCGGCCACAGTCCGGAGCGGGCACCGCGCATGAACCGTCTCCAGCGTCAGGCCACTGCCTTTGACGAGAGCGTCCTTCCCGGTGGCAGCCGACGCGGTTCCCAGCCGGCCCTCAGCCCGGATCCGCCCGAGGATTGTGAACGCCGTGCTTCACGCCGTGACTCCCTCTCGCCGGACAGCGCCTCGCGCGGAGGACGTCGTGACTCGCGCACCCATCTCTCGCCAGATCGCACACACGAGCGCGACGGCAGCCCCCGGCGGCAAACACTGCGCCGCCAGAGCAGTTCGGCGGCCCGCCACTCGCCCGACTCCAACAGCTGCGGCTCGTCGAGGGATCCCAGTCCCTGCTCACGGCCACCGCCTCTGCCGACTGTTGAACAAAACCAGAGACCTGCCATTAGGCGCCAGTCCACCACAGAGGAGATCCTAATAGCGCGCGGCTTCCGGCGCCAATCCACCACGGAGGAGATGATTCGTTGCCGCAACTTCCGGCGCCAGAGCTCCCAGAGCGACGACGTCTGTCGGTGGGTACAAGGAACAGGCGATCCCAAAGGATCGCCAGGCATTCATTGAGCCATTATTGAGCATCTCTCTTTCTAATCTTGTTATAGCTACCGCGGACGTCGCGATTCATCAGCCCAGATTATTGACGGCACCATCGGCACCATGACCGTGGAGACCACTAGCACTTTCTTCGACTCCAGTACTCAGACAGGTAATTTCTTGTAAAGTTTTTCCATCAAAAAAAATTTCCTTTACCATTATCCATTGCATTCCCATTCCCGTTTTGTATTTCGGTTTCGAAAATGCCGCGCATCGTGAGAAAGTTGCAGTCCTGCCAGCTGGTGGATTAACTGTTGCCAAAAGCTCAACTTTAAAAAGCTTTGGTGTCAGCTTCCAGCAGCTGGCGGGGAAGCCACAACAGCTGTGTATCGCGCAGGGCTGCCAACTTGTGTGTGAATCGTTTCGTTGGTAAAAACGGTGAGAACGAAAACGGCGGGGAGATGCCATGTCACCATGTCAATGGCGGCGCCTGGCCTTCCGTCTGCCATCAGTTGCTGTTGAAAACGCAGACGTGCCACAAGAACCAGGCATAGTTCGCACCCGAGTCCTCGTTCGAGTTCGAGTCCGAGCCGGCATCCAGACCCCAGAGCGTGTCCCGTGCTCGAAATCGTAAACTGTAAATACAAATCAAAAGTTTGTTGTCGCTGCTCCCCACCCCTCTTCGTCCACCGCTCTCTGGCCGTCTCTCCACCCACAAGCCGCCCAGCCTTGCTACCGCCGACGTTCGCGCTCTTATCGCTCGGTCCGTGCGCATTAGTGTGCGATTCTCTGTACCACTGTGTGCGTGCGTGTGTGTGCAGGATATACAATATATTTTTCTCAATTTTTTTTCGGTGTGTGAACATTTTGTTGTGTTTTGTTTGAATTGTTGCTGTGGGTGGCAGTGAGCCTTTGAGTGCAGTTTCGTCGACAAACAGCAGCGACGTGGCCCAGTACGTTGACGTTGGCAGTGACGGCGTTGCGTCGCTGCGCAGCGGCCGTCGCCAGCCGTCGAGCAGTAGTGCCAGCAGCAGCAGCAAATGTAGTCGCAGCGGTCTGTATAAATCTTCATACATATCATCATATCTGAAGGACATACATACGTACATAGTATGTACATATATACATGGCATACATCTCGTCGATGCGAAGAGTGGAATTCCTCAAGTCCCACTCTAGCACACAGTCGCATTTCATCCCAGAACTTTAATGAATGAAAGTGCAATGTCCTTCTATCTGTGTGCCAGTCTTTTTCTGAATGAGTGCTGCCTTTTATACCTCATGGTCTCTCTGTCTCTTTCTCCCTCTCTCCATCTCTCTCTCTCTCTCTCTCTCTCTCTCTCTCTATCTCTCTCCGTCTCTTTTCTGTTATGAATGAACTACGAATGGAGTTTTGTGTGACAGCCAACAATGACAAACGCACAGTACAGAGACACAGGCTGAGACCTACACTGAGACACAGACCGCGAACCAGACCGAGACCCAGATATCGATATGGATGGTGCAACAAGTTTTCGGACCCAAGTTGCTCCAATAGTGATAGTGGTTGAACCTGTTGCCAGACGAGAGCTTAATCAATTCCCCTTTTACCCCTGGAAATCGGAGACAAATCCATGCAGAAAGAGTAGCAGAGTAAGTTCAGAGCTAATTTGGAATGGATGGCAGAGTGCAGCAGTAATGGGCCGGTCAATTAGGCACAATTGGTGTCCTGGCAAAGGATTTGGCGATGTCTGGACCATCGGGCTAATTGATTCTGAGTGGGAGCCCAGTGGGAGAGAAGAGATTAGACGAATAAACACTTCCAACACTTGCCTAAATCCGTAATATTAGAGAGAAGATTTTCATGAAAATTTCGTCTAAAATTTCGCAATCAGCTTTGGGACAAAGCTACAGTAGAAATATCCAGGGTATGGTAATTGGAAAAATGTTATGCTAATGTTAACAAAAATAAATAAATAGGAGGATGAACCGATACATCCTCCTTCCGAAGTGAGTCGGGATTCTTAAAACGTACAGCTCTGGATGTGCTGTTCGTGCGAAAAGTAATTTCCGGCACATTTCTGGCACATGTGATTGATCAGGTTATAGAACGAACTTTATTTCCACTCAATTAAAGATGGGCACAGATGGTGGTATATAGAAGAAAGATTAATAAGATTTCTTAAATTACAGTAGCCAATCTAATTCCAGATAAAGATTTTAAGTTCTATCAGCTATCAATGGCAAAGTGCTTTGGCTCAGGTACTTTCAAGAACCCTTTTCCTTAAACTCATTTAAAGAGTAACCTAAAAAGTGTATTCCCAAGTCAAAGCTGTCCATTTGAAGATGAATTACTTAGACCAATTGCCACAAACAATCCATTAGCCTACGAAAATACGAAAATACCAATTGACAAAACAGAACGAAAGAAGGACGACACGAAGGAATACTGACAGCAATCACCAATTGACAGTCCATATACCAGTTAGTACACTAACCACCTTCGATTATATTCATTTTTATAATTGAGTTTTTACGATACACAAAAAAACTAAAAGAGAGAACCGGTTGAGGCCATCGGGTCGTCACGACGGGGTCATTCAGGCACGAAATTAACGTTAATTTATGGCCAAAGAGTAAATTATTTTCCCAAAGAGGGACACTTTTGTTACGAAATTTAGGATTGATTAAGAATGATGACGAAAGTGCCGACCACAACTGTAAAGCAAAACGAGAGGGAACGATGTGAGTTGCTGCGGACACCGCAACTCTACAGTTATACCCGATACTTAGTCAGAATGGCTCTCCTCCGGAAAACGCCGCTAATATTAAACGACACGACAAAGAGTGCGTGCGAGAGAGACAGACAATCAGTCTGAGCGTGACGTCGGGCGATTCGTAGCCACTGCAAATTGATTTGTTGCTTTTGGCTATAAAAATAATCCGATCTGATCTAGATTCCTCAACCGGATAGAAATGGTCATTCTCTATGATTCTGCGTTTTTAGTTTTCTCGATTCTGCAAGATTGTGAATGCAACAGATTTTCGGCTTTTGTGGAGGCGGAAGGGGGTGGGGCGAAATTTTGAGATATACGTTTTATAGTGAGATCTAACAGAAGTGTGGATACCAAATTTGGTTACTCTAGCCTCAATAGTCTCTGAGATTTGTGGATGCCCCAGATTTTCGTCCTTTGCGGGGGCGGAAGGGGGTGTGGCGAAATTTTGACACAAAACGATCAAGGTCCGATATCACAGGAGTGTGGATACCAAATTTGGTTACTCTGGCTCTTATAGGTTCTGAGATCCTTAAACTCATATTTTGCAATTGGCAAAAGCGACCATGAAACCGGTGTGTTAGAGAGAGACAGAGCGAGAAAGAATGAAATTGTTTTCTTGATTCTGGCTATAATAATTATACGATCTGGTTGAGATTTTACACTCTAGAACATATAGTCATCCTCTGCGATTCTGCGTTTTTGGTTTTATCGTATCTTTAAAAATGTGGATGCCACAGACTTTCGTTCTTTGTGGGGGCGGAAGTGGGCGGGGCGAAGTTTTGAAATATTTTTGTAGCAGTGACATATCACAGAAGTCTGGATCCAAAACATCGTTGCTCTAGCTCTTATAGTCTTTGAGCACTAGGCGCTAATAGGGACGGACAGACGGACAGAGAGACATGGCTCAATCGACTCGGCTATTGATGCTGATCAAGAATATATATGGGGTCGGAAACGATTCCTTCTGGACGTTACACACATCCACTTTTACCACAAATCTAATATACCCCAATACTCATTTTAAGTATCGGGTATAATTAGGTATTAAATTTGGATATTGTAAATCAAATGGAGAATGCCTATTCCTTTTCCTCCGAGACACAATTAGAGACTTTTTAAGTCGAATATGCTCCTACAATTGTGTTCGATAATTAAGAAAAGGTTTCCTCAAAATAGCCAGATATTCTCTAAATTTCTCTGAGAGACTTCTTTTTCAAGGTCAGGGTCATAGTTTCCCCACGAACGCCCCACGAAGGTCAAGGTCATACTCTTATGAACGTCCAATTGTTTGGTTTTATTTTTTTTTTAGCGGAAGCGTTTCCGCCCCAAAATTTATCATAGTATTTAGAATATATATTGATCAGCATCAATAGCCGAGTCGATAGAGCCATTTCTGTCTGTCTCTCCGTCCGTTTGTCCATCTTGCTTGACGCCTAGTTCTCAGAGACTGAGCTAAAGCAACGAAATGTAACCAGACTCCTGTGATGTCACTCTGAATCAAGTTTGCTTCAAAATTTTGCCACGCCCTATACTGCCCCCACAAATTTCAAGATACAAGAAAGAAAGAAGCAGAATCGTAGAAAATGACCATATCTAGCAGACTGTCAAATCTGGATCAGATCGGATTATTATTACAGCCAGAGGGAACAAATAAATTTGCAGTGGCTAGACAACGCCGTCTCTCTCTCGCACAGTCTTTGTCGTAAATGGTTCTCCTTCTGGCGGAAGGAGTGTCGGGTATAAATGTAGAGTTGCGGTCGTAGCTGCCATTTACAACGTTCCATACGTTAAAAGCATACGAACGTACGTTTTTGTGGAGTGGATTGGCTGATTCATTGGGTGATTGATTGGTAAGTGAATGAGAGAACCAACTGATGGATAGACTGAGCTATCGCAGTCTTGGCCCCTGGTCCCTGCCCAAAGGTGGGCCCTCCTGTGCAGCTCATAAAAGAGCTCGTAATCGAATGAGTTACCAGCAGCTGCCCATCGATTAGAAATTCTAAAGTTTTCAAATCATTTCTGGCCATAAAATTCAAATTGTTACGACGCCAGCAGCAGTGGACATAAACAGGAATCGCAGGAAAGTGAAATAAGAATCTCTATCATAAATGTCCGAGGCTTTATATACCCTTGGAAATGTAGCGTTTCTATGGCAGGGGTTTGTGATATAATCATTCAAAAGATTTGAATTGTAATAATATAATATTAAAGTTCTAAAGTACTGAAGGACATTGCGATATCGACTCGACTCAAGGATGTACAGGATACCGTATAGAGTCAATCACTTATAATAACCTTATCAAGGGTATCAAATTGTCAGGTTCGGGTTTCGTAACAGCATAGGCCCAGGCCCATTTCCAAGTCCTGGCTCAATCAAACCGATAATTATGGACTCTACCTGACTGACTGGGTTCTA